TTCTCTGACACCACCCTAAGGGAGTTCAGCTCCGTCCCCACAGCGTTACTGGCCTCTGCTACCCTCAACCTGCCGTCCCAGCATGCATCAGCACAGAGGATAGCAATGACCACAACAGCCTCATAGACAATCCTGAGCATTGTTCGACAGATGTTGAAGGACCTCATGCACTACTACCCTAGCTGCCTTGAGATCGTTCTCCTGTTGTAATCACTGATGTGAGCACAGACTGATGGTGACCAGCAGATGTTCTTGTAGTATATTTAAGCCTGTGAAGGGCAGCAGTCTAATCTATGATGCTTCACACAGCTCTGTGTTCATGTTCATGTTCAAATGCTTATTTTCCTGCAGTTAAAATTCAACCAGGGCAGAAACAGAGACAGAGCGAGACAGAGGCACTGATGTGTGTGCACTAGCATATGCACAGTTTAGATTGTCTGTGTTTGTGTAGTACTTTGTTTTGTAATTTTTTACTTAAGTGGGTGAAAGAAACTAAGTAAACACACAACAATATAAACAATTTGTCTTATCCATATGTTTTGTTCTTTTCACACCAGATGCAGATGTTGGGAATATTAAGTAACTCTGTCAGCAGCCTCATGTCTCCTGAGGCTTTCTTGGCACCAGGCAGCGCTGAGTGGCGCCTAATGAAAGACTACGAGCTCCTCTACTGCTTTCGCCGAGACTCCAACAAGGTCCAAAACTACCTGAAGATCCTGAAGTGTCGTATTGTTCCAGAGGATGGATGTTAAAAGCTAGAAACTCTTGACAAAGCTGAAGGTTTTGTTTTCTACTTATAGAGAATCAGAAACATCTCATCATGACTGCAGTGATACAACGGCCGCCCCGTCTGTCAGAATGTTTTCCATCCTCAGACAGGGTGCGATGAATGCACAGAATCACTAATTATTATAAGAGAAACCTGTAAATCGTCTGTTTCAATATATTATATAAATATTTCAAAATCATGTCTTTTTTGTTGTTTCTACAGAAAAGGTGCAGAAATACACTGAGGTCACATCATCACAGCATCATGACAAAAACTAACGATGTTCTGTCCTAATAAAAAACCTGAAACATTGTAACTAAACGTAAAAAACAAAGACAGTAAAGGACATAAACAAAAACAAAAACATGACACCTAATGCATTTATTTATCGAGGGATAACAGACAGTATTACATGTCTGACAGTCTGAAGCAGATTGTTAAATCATTTTAAGAGAAGTTCCTGATTTCAGTCTATGGGATGAAAAACATGTTGGTGGTTTCTCATGTTTAATTAAAAAAGAAGCACGTTTACATATGTGATGATGACGATGAATTAACGGTTTTCCTGAAGCCAGCTGACCAATGAACCGCTTAACTGGTGATTCTTAACTGCCCACAGGTGTGGGTTAGGGTTGGGGATGTGAGTCACCAGTCTGTCTCTGTGTGACAGACTGGTGACCTGTCCAGGGTGTAGCCTTGCCCTGTGATAGGCTTCAGACCCTCGTCATCCTGGTAAACATGAGCGGAAGAGAATGGATGGAAGAACCGCTCCATTTAACATTTACCAAAAGCATTAAAAACATCCTCACACATACATGTACAGTGGGGCAAAAAAGTATTTAGTCAGCCACCGATTGTGCAAGTTCCCCCACTTAAAATGATGACAGAGGTCAGTAATTTGCACCAGAGGTACACTTCAACTGTGAGAGACAGAATGTGAAAGAAAAATCCATGAATCCACATGGTAGGATTTGTAAAGAATTTATTCGTAAATCAGGGTGGAAAATAAGTATTTGGTCAATAACAAAAATACAACTCAATACTTTGTAACATAACCTTTGTTGGCAATAACAGAGGTCAAACGTTTACTATAGGTCTTTACCAGGTTTGCACACACAGTAGCTGGTATTTTGGCCCATTCCTCCATGCAGATCTTCTCGAGAGCAGTGATGTTTTGGGGCTGTCGCCGAGCAACACGGACTTTCAACTCCCGCCACAGATTTTCTATGGGGTTGAGGTCTGGAGACTGGCTAGGCCACTCCAGGACTTTCAAATGCTTCTTACGGAGCCACTCCTTTGTTGCCCGGGCGGTGTGTTTTGGATCATTGTCATGTTGGAAGACCCAGCCTCGTTTCATCTTCAAAGTTCTCACTGATGGAAGGAGGTTTTGGCTCAAAATCTCACGATACATGGCCCCATTCATTCTGTCCTTAACACGGATCAGTCGTCCTGTCCCCTTGGCAGAAAAACAGCCCCATAGCATGATGTTTCCACCCCCATGCTTCACAGTAGGTATGGTGTTCTTGGGATGCAACTCAGTATTCTTCTTCCTCCAAACACGACGAGTTGAGTTTATACCAAAAAGTTCTACTTTGGTTTCATCTGACCACATGACATTCTCCCAATCCTCTGCTGTATCATCCATGTGCTCTCTGGCAAACTTCAGACGGGCCTGGACATGCACTGGCTTCAGCAGCGGAACACGTCTGGCACTGCGGGATTTGATTCCCTGCCGTTGTAGTGTGTTACTGATGGTGACCTTTGTTACTTTGGTCCCAGCTCTCTGCAGGTCATTCACCAGGTCCCCCCGTGTGGTTCTGGGATCTTTGCTCACCGTTCTCATGATCATTTTGACCCCACGGGATGAGATCTTGCGTGGAGCCCCAGATCGAGGGAGATTATCAGTGGTCTTGTATGTCTTCCATTTTCTGATGATTGCTCCCACAGTTGATTTTTTCACACCAAGCTGCTTGCCTATTGTAGATTCACTCTTCCCAGTCTGGTGCAGGTCTACAATACTTTTCCTGGTGTCCTTCGAAAGCTCTTTGGTCTTGGCTATGGCGGAGTTTGGAGTCTGACTGTTTGAGGCTGTGGACAGGTGTCTTTTATACAGATGATGAGTTCAAACAGGTGCCATTCATACAGGTAACGAGTGGGGGACAGAAAAGCTTCTTACAGAAGACGTTACAGGTCTGTGAGAGCCAGAGATTTTCCTTGTTTGAGGTGACCAAATACTTATTTTCCACCCTAATTTACAAATAACACTGTAATAAAACTGTTTTTAATAATATACACTGTAACAGCTCAAAACAAAGAAATGACACAAAAGGAGCTGACCAAGTTTCTAGGAATCAAGCAAAGAAACAAGGTTTGGAGGCCTATCTTCCCCCCTACCACCACTTCCCCTGCCGGTGGCGGACTCCCTCAGGTGTCGGTGTGTTGGTGGTTCTTTGTGTCCGGGGATGGGCGTCCAGGTACACACCGGCTCAATCCTTGGCGGCCGCTTATCGGGTCCTGGAGCCTGGGGCTCGCTCGGGCCACTTCGGAGGTGGGGTGCCCCCGGCCTCTCGGCCTGGGGCTCGGTCACTCAGGCGCAGCTGGCTGCCGGCGGAGCTCACGGGCGCGTCACTGCAACTCCCCCTGGTTTCTGCTCCGCGGCTGCTGAGTGAGCCCTCATCTGGGACTCTCCTCAGCTCTTTCCGGGACAGTGGCGCGGCTGCCCCTCTGTTGGTCTTCCTTGGTCTCTTGTGTTCTGGGGGCCTCTGGATGTCTGGAGTTTTGATCTCCTCCATACCTGCTTCATGCCCTGGAGGACGGGGCTGTGGCCCCCCCCACACCCTCTAGCAGATCATTACATGAAGGAACCTTTTAAAAAAACAAGCGCGTCCATGCTCACAGGTGTACACACGGGTGATCACACCCACAAACTACACCCTTTTTGGCTCCTACCTCAAAGCACACTGTGTTCTGTTGATCTTATGTGCTGCACAATAATGTTTAATATTTACTGTCATATTCACATAGATTATTGCGATCATGTTTATTATGTTGCTCTTTTTTTGCTTGTTTTCTCTCTTTTCTTTCTCAGCAGGTGATCCAGGTGATTGATAGATGTGTTTTTGTCTGTTGGTTTTGTTGGTTTTTGCCCTTTATCCCCGTCCCTGTTTTTCTTTCTCCCGTTTCTTCTCCCAGTCAAGTCTGTGTAGCAAGTGAAAATTAAATGAAGTAAACAATAAAAGGTGAATCAAATAGACCAATACGGCAAGGCTGGGATGGCCCAGTTGGTAAAGTAAATCCGTTGGTTCTTTGCCTTTAGACAATAATTCTGATGGCAAAAGAGCCAAACAGGACAGGCGGAGAAAAAGAAACAAGCAAAGAGCTCGATAAACCCTCAAACAATGAGAGAAATCCTGACCTTATGGCAGTGCAGTCAAAGCAGGTTAGGCAGCTCCACCCGAGGGATTTGGTGGAGCAGGAAATTTGCATCATTGATGTGCAGCAGCTGTGATGCTGTCAGCGTGGAAGCTTTCCAGCAGTTTGATATTTGATGAAGATCTCGATGGATGCTCCTGTTTGTGTGGACGTTGTGTTTTCAGCGGGATAAGGATGAAAGATGAATTATAGTTTGTCTCCCTGCTGAGAGCCTCGGTGTGTCGGTGCACTGGTCTGTTGAGGACCACTTTAAGCCCTGGCTGTTTGTAGAAGGACACTTCATGACCTTTCACCTCACCTGTCTGCTTCACAAACTGTGGAAAGCAGAAATCATATTAACGAGTCTGCGAACAGCAGTAATCTGTACGCTGATCTAAGTTTCAACTACAGGAAGCTGAACGAAACACGTGCGTGTGCTCATCCTGTGCTGTGGTCCAGAGATTGGGACCGAGACGGTTTAACCGTTCGACACGACAACAACTCCTGGCAGCACAGCGGCAAGAAGGTCCTGAGTTCGAGTCCAGCATCAGGCTGCGGGCTTTCTGAGCGGATACTGTCAGGCATTTGTCGTGTGTGTTATAAACACACACTTAAACATTTACACTTTGTACAACTTGGATACATCGACTTGCAATTTTCATTATGAACCATACAGGTACATACTCTCTATAGATGATCATAACTGACATAAGTATTCAGTCTTAGCTGTGCTTACAAATGTTTGCTGTTAAACTACAGCAGAGAACAAACGTGACGACAAACGTGCTGCAGTCAGTTTGAACAAAGAGTCAGAAACACGCACGTTTAATACGTTTATTGGGTAAAAAACAGAAAATAACATCGCACTGAGACCATGCTTCGTTTGTTTTTTGGAAAACACGTCACGATGCAGCTGCTATGGTGACGACCTCTGACCTTCCAGTGCCCTGTTCTACACAGGAAAGATGAATGGAGCCATCGCTGCAACATAAAGAAGAAACATATACATGTTTGCAACAACAACATCATCATCACGTGACTCTTGATGTTACCCAGGAAGGAAATACCTTTTCATGGTCACCACAGTGTCAATGCTGTGACTCTCCTCTGTGGGCTGCAGGTCTCTAAAAACAATCTGTGACACAGACACAAACATAAGCAGGAACCTGACAGTGATTCTAATAATAATGATGATTTTCTCTGGCTTATCCATCCTGGATCACAGGGGCAGCAGCCTAAGCAGAGAAACCAGACCTCTCCCCCGAGGCGATCTGAGGAATTTAGAGGCCAAGCCTAAAACTCAGGAACACCTCAGAGAAAACATTTCCCTGAAAGGGTGTATGTGGTCTGAGAGAATGCTGAGGTACTATGTGCCAAAGTAACATCCACATGGACCCAAGATTTCCCAGGAGAACATTGGCCAAATCATCAACTCTGGCTTGCTTCCCATAGTGCACCTGGTCTTGTCCAGGTAAGTGACAACACGGGGTATCTGTTCTAGGAGACACTTCACCATCAGTGCTGAGAGGAGCACGAGGCCACGGAGAGGACGAAGTCTCTGCTTAGACTTTAGTTTTTCTCTCTCTCATATCATCAGAGGAGAAACATGTTCAGATGAACCTCAGAAACTGCTGCAGGACGTCTCTGTCCAGCTCGGCAACAAGGTGCAGATGCTTAACATCAGCTTAACAAGCATGCTTTCACCTTCATGTCCTCCACTGTTGTGTTTGTGTCGCAAACAAATGACGTCACCGGACTTTTGGCCAACATGGTTCCCAGCTTGTTGTGACGTTTTTCTAAAGCAGTTCGTAAACTGTGACTTGCACCAGCAGGCAGACAGGAAGCAGGAAGTCTGTTTGTGCTTACCTTGGACAGCTTCTCCGGCTGCTCTGTGATGAATCGCTGGTAAATCTCCAAACACAGCGAGGACAGTTTTCCGTCCCCCCTGAGGATGTGATGTCTGTGGGCAGGGAGGGGTGTGCCCACAGGAAGGAGAACCGTGAACATCTCAGCTCCAGACTCATCCATCTCCTCCAACACACCACAAAGGTCAGACAGAAGCCGTTAGAAATCGATTACAGTATTAACGAATGATATTATGTACAAATACATAAGTAGTGTACAAAGACTAGCTCTGCAGAGCTGAAACATTTATGTTCATGTGCATGCAACAAAGACCATGTGCAACATAAGATGTTTATCTGAGGTCTGAGTACTTTTACTAGTACGTCAATGGAAGACACATCCACTGTGACAGAGTCTTCCTCTGGGGTAAGGCCATCTCTGCCGACCAGCAGGCCCGCCTCCAGGGCTGCGCCCACAGCGATGACCTCGTCAGGAGGTGCCGCGTTGAGAAGCTCCACATCCGGAAACATTTCACGGATCATCTGCTGCAGACGAGGAATTCTGGCCGAGCCGCCGCAAAGAACCACCTGCAACACATGGCAGCGATCGAGGAGCGGCTTTTCTATTTAACACACAGCTATGCCATCACTCGTGCATCAGTAAAGACCTGCACGCCGTACCTTGCTAATGTTGTGAGGTGTAAGACCCGCCTCCTCGAGGACGGCTTTGATTGGCTGGATGCTTTTGTTGAAGAGTGAAGAGCAGAGCAGCTCAAATCGAGCTCTGAAAGAAATAACGCACAGAGGTCGTCACGAAGGACAAAACATCTCAGTTATCAGAATCCTGATAATGTGTGTTTGGAAAAGTCATTTAACAAACGACTTTTCCGTTAATTCTGCTGCTCAATTGATTTCATTTAGTTCTTATTCGTTAGCTTTATGCTTTCAAACGTTTATCTCAAATGTTTCGTTCCACGTCCAGCTTCAGCTCAGGCTCAGCCAACGATAATATTCAGATTCTTACAATCTGTGCGTCGACACAACAGCTCACCTCGAGACGCTGCACTCGAAGTCGATACCATCATGAAGGGAGTCAACAAAGCAGTTGGCTGAACCCAGCGAGGACAGGGAGTGCTTAGCCATCTCTGCACCATTCATCAGCTTCAACATAGCCCGAGGATTAGAGCTCACATCGTGCTTAAACGTGCTGTACAACACACACACACACACACACACAAACACACACACAGTGAGGACAGCTACACGGACTCAAACATACAGAAAAATCTTTAAGATGTTCGTCTGTTGCTTTGGTCCTTCTCAGTAAATCGTTCAGACTCTGATGTTCGGTTGGTACCGTTTGAATTCTGAGGCGAGGTGCTGCGCTAAGGCCTGAGTGAAAGCCTCTCCTCCGATGCTGTGGTCAGTGTGAGCGCTGCAACACAGGAACATTCCTCCATTGACCTGCAGCACTGTCACGCTCAGGGACGTCCCACCGAGCTTGTAGACGAGGACGTGACTGTGGAGACAGGACGCATCGCTAAAGGACAAGAAGATGGAAAATTCATTCAAACGGTGACTGCTCTGTCTGCTGGTAGCTGACGCACGCACGCACTACTTCTGCTGGCTGTGGGTGGGGTTCTGGGGGGTTTCCACTTGGCCGTAGTACCCGGTAGTTTTTTCGTTTCGAGGTTCCCAGCAATCAGAGCCGATCTAAAAATGTGACATCAGCAGACAGCCTACCACCGATTGGCTAGTCAGTGGCGTCACTGAGTAATGAAAGCGTCTCCTTCATGAGACCACGCCTAACGTGTCCTCCGCTGTTTGTTGTGTTTGCATACAAATGACATCACTGGACTTTGGACTGGGTTGCTATAACGACCCCTGGACATCGTGGTACTGATACCTACTCGAGTGGAGTCGAGCAGGTATCAGTGGAAGAGGTCGAGCAGAACTCCCACAAGGATTTTAGATGCTCCAGCTTTTTAAACATGTTGTTGGATAAAGTTTTTTCCAAACAACATTCATATCTGCGCCGTAAGTCGGATCAGCAGGAGCGTCGATCCCTGCTCGCCAACACAGCTTACAAAGGAGCCCAAACTAATGTTAGGCTGATTCTACCAGTTGGATCAGGTGGTAGAAGTAACGGCAGTCCCATCCTCCTTAGATTCAGGAGAGTTCATGTAGGCTCGGGTACACGCCGACCACGTCAGTTTGAAACCAGTGACCATAATGAAATCTGAGGTGTTCCTTTCCTAAAACACACCTCTTCCCTGACGGCGACTCCTGTCCGATGTCATAGGCCAGCAAAGCAGCAGCAGGCTCGTGGATTAGCCTCAGGACATTGAACCCTGCAGCTTCAGCCGCGTTCCTGAAGGAAACAGAGGTGACGATTAAAAACTGAAACAGATGCATATTTTCAAAGTGACATAAAAAAGATGCACCTACCTAAGAGCACGCTTCTGAGCATGTGCAAACTCTGAGGGAACAGTAATGACAGCGTCACTTACATCCGAGCCTCCCAGAGCCGACTGAGCCGTTTCTGTGGAAACAGCCATAATCAGTCGGGTGATTACTTTACAGAAAACTGAATACCCACAATTCATTTCTGAGGCTTTACGTATCAGGACATTACAAAATCTCATCCTTCTGAAGTGAAACAAGCCCACATGACAAACACCAGGACATTATTACAGCACTGCTCAGTCCACTTTCAGTCACTGTGTAATAGCCGTGCATCGTTCTGTTGCATGACGCGGTTCAGCTGTTGGACAGATGCTCTCACACTTTAACACGCCCAGGACATGCAAACTTAACTGATGTCAGTCGATTAGAGAGTTTTCAAAAGTATCAGATGTCCAATGAGGACGATTTGATGGTGGGAAATTTCTGACACATTATCAGGACCACACGCTGTGAGAAGCTGACAATGTTGCCCCAGAAATAATATGTCAAAATATATAAACTGTAAAAACAAAAACGTGTTTGTATGAAGCTTATATGAAGCGTTTTTTGTCGCCTCGGGGCGGTGTTGTGCGATAACAGGAACTTGTTGAGTAAGACTTTGCCAACAGCAGGGGTGGGGAACCCCAAGCCTCCAGGGCCGGTATCCTGCAGGTTTTAGATGTCCTTGATCCAACACAGCTGATCTAAATGGCTAAATGACCTCCTCAACATATCCTGAAGTTCTCCAGAGGCCTGGTAATGAACTAATCAGGTGTGCTGAGCCAGGGTGAGCTCTGAAACCTGCAGGACACTGGCCCTCGAGGCTGCAGAAAGCTTGGAGGACCATCACTGAAGACCACATGAAAAATAATAAATCTACCAGCAACTTTGGCTCCTTGGAAATAATGACGAACATTTTCACACTAACAGATTTACCTTTCATTTTCTGGAAGATGAGCTTTGCGACATCTTCTGGAGCAACATACTTTGGCTGCTGTCCTGATGTGATCTCATAAAAAGGTTTGTTTTCTCTGCTGACAACCTAAACACACAAAACATCCTCAGACTCCAAAAACCAAACTGTGTTTTTGTGCCGTCATCACAGATCGTTCTAGAGAAACTCTCTCACAGACCATAAACTGGCATTTTCAGGAAGTTTAAATCTCAGCATGTGTGCCGCTGAAGGCAGCTTCTAAAAAACGAATAATGATAATATAATGCTATAATGCTTCTCAGTGTAAGTAATGCCAGTGTGTAGTTAGGATTATGTGTAAAATGTAAATAAGAAAACAAACTGCAGTTATCTGTAAATCCCTGCAGAACAATTCACTCATTATCTACTGAATCCAACATCAGAGGGATCCTGTCAACACGAGTCAGTAAATGGAGCTGTGATCTAAGGATGTAGTCAGCAGGGAGAAGTGTGACACAGGGCTGTTTAACATTAATGGATCATCAGCTTTAAATCAAACAAGACCTGAGGCAACGTTTTAAAATTGTGAGCACAGAAGAAGTGTTGAAAATGAGACGAGCTGGCTCAGCACCGCCTCCTGCCATCTGTAAAACACCAGGATCCAAACTGTGTGGATCTCCTGGCGTTTGGTCTGCAGGCTCTTTCAGAGGGTTGTTGGTGAAACCTACCTGACATTTGGTCTCCGTTCTGTGCCTTTGTATCTCTGGGTCATCAAAGCTTTTCAATCAGAGAGAAAGAAACAACACACACACAGTTATGAGTTGCTGTCCACAGGATGTCGAGGATAATAAATAATAACAACACTCGTTCCTTCCTCACTCAGGCTACAACTATCACAGCATGAGTACAAATGTTGTCATTTCTGTCTCAAAAACATCGTTTCCTTTCTACTGGAGCTCACTGAGCAACTGCTACATGGATCAAAGCCATCCTCTCATATGTAACAGCTGATGGTGTGTCTCAGGTGTCTGACTGGATGTAGCAGCGAGTACAGGAGCCTCCATGTTCCTGCCACAGTGTTACTGTTTTTCCCAGAGGAGAAACCAGACTGATGTCCACGTGTGATGATACAATCAATCTGAACAAGCATCATCATCATCATCATTATTTTCTATGTTAGAGCTGCATAATCTTGCTTTTTTTCCTTTGAGTTATTAATAATTACAATAATATGATGTAGGTTTCACATTTGCAAACAAAACATCGTCAGCTGTGTCACCTTCTCCCGAGCACTTGTTTCACTTTGATGACTGTGCTGGCAGCATTGCGGACCCGTCCCTGTTTTGCTGCTATACCTACAATCTGCAGAAGAGGTCAGAGGTTAAAAGGCTGCTGCAGTAGATATCTCACAGGTGCAGGAAGCAGCCGTCAGTAATGTAAGAATAATTCTGCACCTCAATGCAAAAAATCATCTTCTCCAAGTTCCAAAACCCAAAAAGCAAACAGCAGACGTGTCTGTGAAGGTTCTCAGTCATCCAGGTCATCGTAGTCTGAGGAGCTTGCAAAGAAAAGCGTCTGGACTTCTTTAAGTTGCTTGAAGACGTTTCACCTCTCATCCGAGAAGCTTCTTCAGTTTGAGGGTCAGATGGTGGAGAGTCCCAGATTTAAACTCAGTGGGAGTTTCCCCCCCACAGAGGGACAAAAGGACCCCTGATGATCCTCTAATCACATGAGCCAAGGTGTGTAAAGGGTGTGGGTCACAATCAGCCAGGGTTTCGGGTGAGCTCATTGTGAAACCTGGCCCCACCCTATCATGTGATTTCCTGAGGTCAGATGGCCCAGGATGTGAGTGGGCCCAATTAGGATAGCCGCATGTTTTGAGTGCTTCCTTTACATGTGTGTTCCTTCTTTTTCCCTTCAGGCTTAGAGGGAACATTTGAGGGGGTGGTTATCCTAATTGGGCTTTTATAAAATCAGCAAAGATGCACAGAAAAGAAGATCAGACACCAGCGAGGGAGGATAAGAAGGACAGACGCAAAGGTGAAACGTCTTCAAGCAACTTGAAGTCCAGATGCTTTTGTTTCTAAGCTCCTCAGACCAAACAGCAGACAGATCTATGCTAGACAGATCTATGCTAGACAGATCTATGCTAGACAGATCTATGCTAGACAGATCTATGCTAGACAGATCTATGCTAGACAGATCTATGCTAGACAGATCTATGCTAGACACTATAAGGTGATATGACAAGACCATGACCACAGAAACATGTGACCTGTGATAACAGAGGAACTTCTCAGTTACTTTTAACACTGCAAATATTTTAGCAATATGTTTCATTGATTGGTCATCAACATTTCTTCTATACAGACATTGTGCAAAGCCAATATGATGCTTAGGGAATTTAAAATAGAAAGTAGCTCGTCCACAGAAGGACTGGTAGCTCCCCTTACGATAAGGGTTCAGATCGCGCGAACAGGTGTGAAATGTGTGTGTTTAGTTAGTTTGCTTGTTTTAATCAATTTTAAATCGTCCTTTTTATTTGCTTTTGTTTCTAATGTCTCTGTAAAGCACTTTGAATCACCTTGTTGCTGAATTGTGCTATACAAATAAATTTGCCTTGCCTTGCCTTAGTGCTAACAGGAAAGACTGAGTGCATGGGTCAGGCACAAACCCAAGAAGTGAAGCCAAAGTCGTACCTGTTCAGTGTCTCTGTAGCCCACCACAGTTGGCGTTACTCTGTCTCCTGCATCGTTAGCCACCACATCAGCCCGTCCATCCTAAACAACACGCAGCATACATTCAGAAACACTTAAATATATACTTTGCTCAAAACTCTTGGATATTCAGATGCATCAGCAGCTGATTTCCAGGCTCACTTATCCACATATATTTCATGTATGAATCCAAGCTGCAGATCTTTGTGAAAAAGCAGAGAAGACTTCAGTCCCCGTAGGGCTCCTTAAGGAGTTCAGCTTGGCCCAAGGAACCTTGACTACATGCCATAAGACTGTTGTTTGACTGGAGTGGAAAGACATCACTGTCCTAAACTGGTTTACTGTTGAATTACTTGAAAAACCTCAAATTAAGATGCAGCACAAATGTGAACTGAGCCTTAATAATCAGAGTCACGAAAGGTTTTGTGTAATCGTGAAATGAAAGGAGACAAGAGGCTGTTCAGCCTCCTCAAAGTAATATCTAATTAAGGTTTGTGGTACTTAGTTTGTATCGTCTACATGTGCCATTACAGGAAGGCAGCAATGACGCAGCTGCAAAAAGCCTGGTAGACTCCAACGTTTTCATTTTTTTGCTTTCAAGTTTCCTAAAATGTGAAACTTCTAAAACTTGCTTGGATTTAAGACCCAACATGCTGAAAGGCTGCAGTGGCCTGGGTGCAGTTTCTGTGTTCCTTTGTGCACTTTGTAACAAGTTAAGGCTGTTGTATAAAAAAGGGTAGTTGGGTAGTTTTTACAGTAACAAGCATGCAGGCCAAGCGTCAGCCTGTCAGCGCCTTTAGTCTGAATCGTGGACAAAGTAATCTTTAATGACTTTAAAAAGCAAAGGCTGGGAGCACAAGTCTGATTTACACTGCACAGTATTCACTCGTCTGCCTTTACACACATGTGAACTTGAGTGACGCTGCATTGTTAATCTTTCTAAAGTTTAATATGATGTTTGCAGCTGTGACAGTTTCAACCAGGGATGTACGCGATTACTCGCCGTCAGCAGTGATGTCACTAGTCCAGAAGTACTCGTCATGTAATTTAATTCTTTTACATTTATTGATACCCAAATGTTGTGTCCTAAATGTTATGCTGCCACCAGATGGCGCATCGTTGTTGAGAAATGCCATGAATCTGTTCATCTCATCTTTTTGTTCACACTATTATTTCTGGTTCTTTAAAAAAGCAAAAACTTAGATTGCAGATACAAGCGGCGAAAAGTTGGTTTTGTGTGAGTGTGGAGGGGCTCTCCCTGAGCGATGGAGGTCAGTCATTCAGGGGCTCAGAGGACAGCCTCTCCATCCACTGACACAGCTGTGTGACTTTATGTACACAAAAGCTGAAATATGAACATTATAAACTCCACTAATATTTAGTTCATGTTTCCTTAGCAAGCATATTTGACCCTTTTTCTTGGAAGTTCACTTAAATCACTTGGACCCTGCAGTCCACACTATAAGGTTGGGGGCGGGGCTTCGGGAAGGCCATCCAGGAGTTTAAGGTCATCTCTAAATCATGTTGGGGTGGAGCTGGACTCTAAAGGTGGTGTCAGAGGTGGATGTTGTCCAAGTACAATACTGGACACTCAGTTTTCTCATGTGTTTGGCATCGATGTCCTATCGGAGCACCAAACTGTGTCCCAGTTTAAAATGCTTAGTTATTAATCTGAGATGAAGAATCTGGATGCAATCCTCTCTCCTTATTTTACCCACTGAACTAACTGAAACAATTCATTGACTTATATCCACTCTGCCAGCAGCTTATCGAGCACCGCCATCCTTCAGGACATGTAAATGTTCACATCAAAGACGACATGCGAGGTTTCATGAAGCGATACTCACCTTAAATATCGCCACACAAGCGGATGTATAACCGAAATGAACCCCAATCGCCGACATGCTGCCAGCCCTCAGCCCAAAAGACCGACAAACATGGATCCGGTTCTCCTCACCTTTGAACCGGAAGAATTTCTTCTTGGAGTAGTTCAAAACAAAAGCATGTATTTTTTCTGAAGTATTGATGTTTATTTTTTTTTTTACTCTAATATCATTGTTTGTATTCATGATTTGTTTTGCAGATATCTTTGTGGCTGTATGATTGTAGTTGCCAACTAACCAGTCATATCTTTGAAGAAACGGCGACAAACGACCGTTTCCGTTTGATGTCCGTGAAACTGAAACAAATCAAATGTACATGGCTGACACGCTTTGATTCTCCTTTTGCACTAATTCTTTTATTACCGGTATTTGTAAACATATTTCAGACTATAACTAAGTACGTGTGTCAATGTCTGGTAGTGACTAAGTCATTACGCTGGGAAGCATCCAAAATAGACTGAAGGTAGCTGGGGGCGGAGCCTGATGCATAAAGAATTATGTCTGTTAAAAAAGGACACTGTTGTTAAGATAATACAAAGCATTTATGTACAAAGTAAATAAACCTCTCTGTCATCCTATTTATAAGGTTATGTGTCGTGCTTGACTGAGCAACAGTGACATCAGTCTGCATGTCCTGAGGAATGACTTTATAAACTGGGCCCTACTGACCGAGGTCATGAATATCACCTGTTGTTTACAGCTGAACAGCGGCTGCTGAGGTAAAGATATGAGACGATGTGGACAGATTATGTGAACACTTAAAGTTCTAGACTATCAGCACCAGTAGTTTAACTGAGAACATCGTCCCAATTTCATCCAAATTTGCACCCAAAAGAGAGACTGACAGACTGTGGACAGTCTCTGCGACGTCATGAACGGACTGTAGCTGAATCAGGAAACACAGACGAGAGGAAATGGTAATTACAAGCTATGATGATTGCCTTTAAGTAATGGGACTACATACTTACGTTTATGTAATATGAGCCCAGCACTTAGATGTATGCATTGAACTGAACCTCAGTCTCGAATTTTTAGAACTTTTTGGATTTCTTTTACAGAGCTTAAAAATAGCTCGATCAAATAGCTTGGGACAAATACTCGTGTACATGTAGTACAGCTTTAAAAAGGGGCTGTGTCCAGTCTGTAGTGCCTCTTCTGAAGCATCTGTGTAATGATGGGCTTAAAACACTGAAAGTTGTGGAGCTGAGAAGCATTTTAGCTTCCTGGGAGAAGAGTGTGAAGCCTGGCTGGATGATCCAGGACAAAGAGCCACCAAAGGAAGTGGTCTGATTATCAGCTACATTGATTGTCCTTATTGTACTTCAGACTCCTTATTAAACACTTATTAAATGATCGCTGAACAACTTAGAAAACCTTAAATTACCTGATAATCACGAAGTAAAAGTAAACATAAAAATGTCTGAACATTTCTGATTCCCATCCTACAATTACACCCGTTACTGCAGCTCTGCCATACTACACAGTATGTTTTTGTTATTGGGGAAATTAGAAATTCCCCTGGAATAAGAGCTGCTGCTGTGTGATAGCTAACAGTTCATATTAAGTTGATAGAAGTAACAGTAAACATACAATAAATCACATCAGAGCGCTTTTAAAACCTCGGGCATTCATTACTGCAGTAACACCGTTCACTAAAACTATGAAGCAGAGTCCTGCTGTGGGTTTGTGCAGCAAATGCAGCAGGAAATAATCCCACGCAGGGCTCTGCTACGACGCTTCACACTCATAAATTAGATTTAATATCATTTAGACACAGTAATTTAATTGTATATATATGTAACCTTACACAATAAGTAAGGATATTTTTGTTTGGTCAGCTCTTTGTTATAATAACGCTGACTGGCAGTAAACCTCGTGGCACCAATCATTCAGAAATAAAGAGCTATATTTGTGGTTAGCAGAGCTGAGTATGCAGGTTGTGCCCAGTAAAAACTTTATAATAATCCCTGTATTATATTATTATAAACTTTATATATAAAATATTCTCTGCCAGTGGCAAACAGCTTATTATGTTATTGATTGTTTGGAGTTTTCTGTAGCTCAGGCCAGACCCTGCAGTCCCCTCACACTGATGTGCTGGTGTCCATCTGTCCTGCAACCTGAACACATGGAGCAACGTCGTGTTTACCGAAGAGTCCAGACTCCGCCTACCTGCAGGTGGATCATGAGGTCACAGGTGGAGAGGAGATGCACAGTGCTCTGCTGCTTTTGGTGGAGGCAGTGGGGTGGGTGGAAACACGAGGTCCGTCAGTAAGAACAGCTGTTTCTATTCTTGTAGTTAAATCATATAAAGAACTTTGGTGCCTATCAAAAAGTTTAATGCACCTCGATTGTTTTGGTGAATTTGTCTGAATTTAGATCCAAACGTGTCATTTCCAGATTCCTCTGTGGAGATGTTACACGGTCTCCTTTTTACACCAAAAAGTCAATAAAGCGTGAAAACATACGTTACCCCAAATATACTAAATGATCCGTGAATACACCGAAGCATCAGACTTTCATGCACTTCTTGGAATTCTCCTGGATTCTCCAGTGAATTGAGAATTAAATACAAACCGTTTAGTGGTGAGAAACAACGACCTTTCTCATGTACGGAAGAATTCAAGCTTCAAACATACACAATGTATCACCTGCAGGGCCACAACCCCACACAGGAAGTCGGACTTGGCTCTCTGATGTTAAAAAGTCCTGACTATGAGTGTGACCCAGCAAGCATGCAGAGTGTAGTCGATGCAGGTGAGGGGACTCGCTCAGTCCGAACTCATCCAGCTGCCTTCCCTGCTAAACCATTAAGAAGAAAAATGAGCAGCCATGCATGAACCCACCAGCTCCACCTGTTAACAGTACGTGGAATCACTCTCACCCCATTTTCTCACTCATTGATTTCTCATTTATACAGTGAAAAAACTTATATTTTGATTCATCTTTGCTTACGAATAAATATTAGCAGATTATGAGGTTGGATATTAGGACCTTAAACCTCTCTTAGCTGTGACGTGGAGGCGGCGAGAGGAGGACTTCTTCTACGCCAGGTCACATGACACAGTTTAACATCACTATTATAATAACTCGCTGTGCACAGCTGGACTTCCAATGTGAATTAAACCAATATAGTTTTATTTTGCATAAAATATGCCAGAACAAACAGGAACCGTCTGGTTAACTTCATAAACTTGTAATGTTACAAACAAACCAAGCAAACGGTCACGTTTGGAGTCATTTCAACACAAAGCATGTTTTAGTAAAATACACATTTTCAAATTGGATACATATTTACATTGATTACCTTATTACAACATTAATATGAAAGTCTTTAGTCTGTATAGATTTACCTTAAAAATCAGAGCAATGCAAACACTTCAGTTTCACCACCACCACAAAGTCGATACTCAGATCACCACAAGATTCCTAAAGGAATATTTATCTGAAGAGAAATCCATAACTAATCAAATCCTCAAAACTTCTGCACGTTTCCACGGACGACCACACCCACGGACACTCCCACGGACACCACCTGGATGTGTGTTTCCTACAGCTAGTAGGAAACACACATCCAGACCTTTCACAGCAGATGCCAAAACTCATCATTCGAGATAACTTCAAATCAGGTGCTTCACACGTTCTGGATGTGTTAAAGGCAAAGTGTAGTTATGGGTTGTTCTGTCTTCCAGCTGTTTTAAGAGAATAAGGCACAGAAAATACATTTGGTTTGGCCTCAGGGAACATTTCAGCTACGTGACTGGAGTAAGCTGGGCACGTTTCAAACATGACGCCTGCTGTCGATGTTGATACTTCGTGTTCACTTTTGACAGCAGACGCAAAATTGAGTGGTTTAACGCACGCTGCTGTGGCGCTGTGTGTCACAGAAACGAATGAAGCTGAAGGATGGCTGCTGTCTGAGCCCGTGGAAGTGCAGTGTTTTCATTTTGTGAAGCTCAAACGGTTGCATAATCAAATCCATTACTTTAGACATTTTCAAGATTCCAGAAATATTCCAATCTTCTCCATCCTGCTGAGCAGACCTGTGGGGACCACAAACATAATACAAACATTGTCTATCACTCAGTGCTTTGTGGGTCAGCTGCAGCGGATTCAGGGGAGGGTGGCTGGCACGGTTGCAAACACACTGCTATGATTTGACTGTAGCTTCCCTGCTGTCAGACACAGCTCTGCAGCTGAGACACAAGCCACACTCCTCCACCACAACAATGTAATGTCATTATATTGAAGTATGAATACTGATGAGCACATACATACCTGGAGCTGGACACGTGTAGAACTTACATATCTGCCTCTGAAACGAGACATTCAAAACATGTTTATGCTAGCTGTGATCTGGCCGGTTACTCCCCGCCTGTTACAAACACCAACAATTTCAACTTAAAACTTCAATAAGGTCTTTAAAGCAGGCAAGTGTTGACTGATGAACATGATGCATTTGTAAAAACATTTCAGCGTCTCTGAAAATATAAAATGTGTTTTTACAAGAGGACAACATCTGAGACTACAAATTTGTTCTTATTGGCTTGTTTGTTAATGAGCGTTTGAATGACTACGTGTTTCTTTTCATGATGCTTTTAATATGAATGAGTGATGAATGGAGTATTAGGAACTTGCACAATGTTCTATGTTCTGTAATTGTTCTGTTTCTGAACCGTTTTTTATTCCATAGTTTTGTTTATTGTAAACAATGTTAGTCAATGTAATAAAATACATGATCTGAAATAAGAAATAAATATATAAATATAGATGATATGTGTGTACAAAACTAAAATACAGAACTAAGAAAATTTAGCAAAATATTTTCTAACCTCACGTACTGTGACCTGTGAAACAACACGTACACACAGACACAGTGAAAAACACTCATACCCCAAATATATGTGTTCTTTTTCCCCCCATGAGTTACTCTGCAGGTGAACACATCCTCCTTGGTTGGGGTGAAAGGCACATGCTTGGTCATGTGGTAGTGCCAGTTCTCTTCAAAGGCCAGGTCGGTCTGCTGAGAGCCTGGTATCTCTTTGTCATTCCTGAGCAGCTCGATGGTGATTTCAGGAGGATGGAATCCACTGACATGGCAGATGAGGGTGTTGGCGGTCCCGTAGTGTCCGGGGGAGCGGGTGTACACCTGAACCTTGGGTGAAACTGGCAAACACAAAAACAGTCACTCACTTACAGATGAAATAAAGACAATAATTTAATCCAGATGATAATTATTCATTTAGATTCCACCAACTTATTAAATATAAACACGGCAATTATCTGCGTCACAGTGTGTCACGCACAACAGCCAAACAAGGAAGTACTCGTAGTACTCGTAAAACGTTACAGCGCCTTTAAGTACAAGTTATCAGTCGTTTAATACTGTAAGTACTGTAAGTATGTTACTGTTTGCCATTTCCCAGAGATTCCACTTTACTACCTTTAAAGCCGTTTTGCTTTCACTGGGCCCGAGCGCCTTCCGCCTGATAACATCGGGCCATTTCGGAAACACAAACATGTTCAGTTACCGGAGATCACTTACTGGTCTTGACTGCCGAAAGACCTGTGAGTCCCAGCAGAAGGACGACGGCGAGACACACAAACGTCTTCATTGTTTCACATACAGACCGACTCGATATATCGCTGTTGGAGATTCGCTCGACAGAGAGAAGACAACAGTGCGTCACGATCCACACCGAAAGTGAAACCGTTCACATCGGGAGTGTTAGCTAACAGACACCGGGACGTCCAGGCAGTGCTAATGCTAACTAACAAAAAGGGGGTCTGTAACCCCGCCCACCAAAACCATGTTATGGCGCCCCGTTTATAAAAAACACAAGCAGCACAAACTCGTGACAAGACGACACGTGCCTATAATTCTACCAATAGGAAACTCCAAACGTCATGTTGCTAGGCGGAATTTACTCCGACATGTTGTTGTTCACTGTCGTTTGAGCAAATAAGCCGCCATGTTTGAGATGGCTGCCGGTGTTGTGCCAAAAACAAATGTTTCCGTGTATTTTTTATGTGTAATATCTTTACGTATGTTGGTAAACAGACTTCGGTGAACAGCGTTTACAAAGAGGTTTTATATAGAATTAAAAAATTATCAGTTTTTCAAGTATCTTTACAACTCTGTGTTGTTGTACTTACATTATAACCAATCCGGTCCTTTATCCCCACTTAAAATATTTTTACTGAACTATTGTAATATTTGCTGCCATTTCTTCTGTCCTCTTGGCCAACTTACTCTTACAAAAGACATTTTCAATGTTAATGAGATTTTTTAACTGCATAAATAAAGGTTATATAAAAGTCACTGCCAAAAACTGATTGCGCCTTCTAGCTTGTTACACGAATGTTGTTTGTGGCTCAGTGTGACTTTGTGTCCTCCATGAGGGAAGCGTTTGACATATGTTTCACAATTTAATATAACAAGTTACTTATAGCAGTTTAAATACGAGCAATCACTTTTTGGCACAACAGCCCGGAATTGCTGCTTTGTACTTTATTGACAGACCTTAGAAAATCCTCTCAGGTGTTTACCTTTCCAAAGAATTTCCCACACATCGTTTTGGTGTTGATAATAACTCTTGTTCTTTCTGTGATGGGAATACTGAATGACAAAACATTTATTTTACCAGTGTATACACTGTAAAGCCCCGTGGGACGATGTACACTACTGGCTTTTCCCAAAGATTCCAAACTTACGTGAATTTTCAAAAAAAAGTATTTTTGGATCTTTAAGAAAAAAAGAAACTTGAAAATGTCTTAACTGTGATCATTATTATGGGTAAATTCTTCATTCATAAATGTCGATCTCTGACAACAAGGCCGTCCTTTTTCACTTCTCACAGTGAACAGTGAAGTTTATGGACAAAAACAAGCTGTGGCTCTGCATCATATGGTTAATGCACTGAAGCTTTTAGAAAACCCCTAGGTTAGAATTGTATTTTATTTTATGTCTTTTAATTTATTAATTTATTTAATTAGTTATTATTTATTTATTTAATTTAATTACAGATAATGAAAATAATATCAACACAATTGTGGGCTGGGGGGGCAAATGAAATATTGCACATGGCAGTGGCAAATTTTGAGTGGCACTTAGTACAGTATTGCATGGAGTACGGTTTTTATTTGTTTAAATACTAATAACAGTGAAGTGACCAGTGCAGAGTGTAAAATGTACCTATGAAACTGTAGGACCGATTCTGAGTGCATCTGTGTTGTGTGTGTTTAGGTGTTGTGGTTGAAGTGTCGAATGGCTTGATGACAGACTCCTGTAACGTCTGCCAGATGGAAACAAGGAGAACAGCTGATGTGCTGGGTGGCTGTGGTCCTTGATGATGCTGTGTGCTCTGCGGAGGCATCGCTGGAGATAAATGTCCTGAATGGCAGGAAGCCTCGTGCCAGTGATGTGCTCTGCTGCCTTCACCACCCTCTGTAGTGATTGCCGGCTGCTGGCAGAGCAGCTTCCGTACCAAACTGTAATGCAGCTCGTCAGCAAACTCTCGATCGCACACCTGTAGAAATTTGAGGTGATGTTAGCGTTCATGCCAAGCTTCCTCAGCCTCCTCAGGAAGTAGAGTCGCTGGCGAGCTTTCCTGATAGCAGTGTCTGTGTGAAGGGTTGGAAAAGGCTTTGCAATTGTTGCCATATTTTTTGTACTTGTTACATTTGTTTAATTAATTTATAAAAAGTTTATCTGGTCTTTAAGTGATGACATGATGAATCCTGCTTCCGGGCCCAACGTACTCTGCATTTAATAATAATAATAATAATGGATTAGATTTATATAGCGCTTTTCAAGGCATCCAAAGCGCTTTACAATGCCACTATTCATTCACTCTCACGTTCACACACCGGTGGAGGCAGCTACAGTTGTAGCCACAGCTGCCCTGGGGCAGACTGACAGAAGCGAGGCTGTCATATCACGCCATCGGCCCCTCTGGCCAACAGCAGTAGGCGGTAGGTGAAGTGTCTTGCCCAAGGACACAACGACCAGGGCAGAAAGCCCGGGGATCGAACCGGCAACCTTCCGGTTACAGATACGCTTCCCTGAGCAAAGGTCGCCCCAAAACTAAGGTAAAAAAAACCCCAACAACTGGTAATTCTTTGGGTTTTTTTTTTTACATTTATTAAGTCTGTTGTGTTTTTAATGTGTTTTAATTCTTTGTATCTTGTTCTATTTAATCTCAACAAGCCCATAAAAACAGTCAGGGATCACTGTCGGCTTTTCTCATTTTTTATTACCGCTAATAATTTAAAGCTCAGTTTTTAAAACTTTAAAAACTATTTGGACTATATTTTCATATAGTCCAAATACCTAAACTAGCTTTTTATGATAACATACAAATCTTCTGCAGGTCCCAAAGTCAAACGAACACTGCGGCATCACTGAGAGTTACAAACTGTCTAAATTCTTTCATCTTTAATAAAATGATCAGTGTTGCTGCTTTACCAGGTGTAACAATTAAGTTTAACATCCAGGCATCCATGAAAACAGGATTTATTACATTTAGTTAGAAGTTGGCAGGAAGTTAGCTCGCTAGCTTCCACCTAAGCATGATATAGCATGTTCTGACTGAGAGGTTTCTGAAGCATTCAAACGTACAGCTCTGCTATCACTTCCAACATAAATGAAGACAGAAAACTAAACAGCAGAGATGTTTGTAGGGTTACTGAAGTTGAGCTAGCTGCTATATAATGATGTGCTACGTGATCGCTAGCTACACAGCTATGTTAGCATAGCATAAACACAGTGAAGCTGGAGGATGTGAGATGTTTGTTTAGTTTTTACAGGACTACAAAGCCTCGCGCAAATGATCGTTTTCATGATTGTCTGTCAAGAGACACTTTGCAGGACTCTCAAACTCGTGGAGACCTATGCCTGATGAACACACAGCACATTTGTTTTCACAACATAAAGAAATGAATCAATATTTCTGTATAAAATGATACATTTTAGGGTTTTTGTAAAATAATAATAAAAACACCAGAAATTTTCAAGAATTTTTATTATTATACATGTATACACACATACATATAACCCATTATTCTATCATTTGAGAAACTCATTTAGGTATAAAACAGTTTATTGCATAATGGCCAAAGAACCCCTCACATATGGAAAAATATTACAACAGGGTGAAACAAACGAGGCTTTTGTGATTACAGCTGAGCAAATCCACTTAGTCAAAGGCAAACCAGCAAAAAGTGACACCCTAAATTTTTATAATCTCTACATCATACCAAAATAATATTGAGAAATTACTGTTACCTAATATGTTACTGATAATTATTCTGATGAGAAGAAACAAATCTGACGCCACACGGCGGACTCTGATTGTACAGGAAGGACAGATGTTGGGTAGCGGGGACAACATGACCGATGTGACACTCTTTGGTCCCCATTGGTGTTTACATGTTTGACTCTGTAAAGAGAAAATATTAAGGTTATTCATTTCATAAAAGCACAGAAAGACAATTTCATTCACCGCTGATTCATTTATAAAAGTATTAAACATGTTTAATTTTCTTTTGTATTTTTTTTAAATTTGAGGTTACTACATAATGCTTATGACTGTATATAGTTTTGGCTATCTTAACTCACCCCAACCAAAGGTTTTTGGTTCTTGTGTCCCATGAGTGACTTTGCAGGCGTAGTTTTCTCCTTCCTTTGGTGTAAAAGCGACGTGCTTGGTCAGATGGAAGTGCCAGTCCTGGTTGAAGACCAGGTCAGTCTGCTTGGCATTAGGAATTTCTGCCCCATCCTTCAGCAGTGTGATGGTGATGTCAGGGGGGTGGAAATCACTCACGTGGCAGATCAAGACATTTTCCTCTCCATACTTTCCAGGATTACGGCTGTAAACCTGAGTCTTTGGTGCAGCTAAAGGCAAGAATGAAAGAGAAAGTAATATCCTTAATAAGGGATCAGTATTCATAAGTGGTCCAGCCTGTCTGAGGCCAATTTCGTTATGATGATTTTAGACCAGCGGTCCCCAACCTTTTTTGCGCCATGGACCGGTTTATATCTGACAATACTTTCACGGACCAGCCTTTGAGGTGATAAATACGACAAAATAAAACCAGTACCGGAACCAAAAAAGAAGGTTTATTCATAACACAACGAAAAGACCCAGGGAAACCGAGTTAACACTAAAAACGATAAAAACCTTGAAAACCATGAATTTCACACACGAGCCTCAACTCTTGCGGCCGGTACCGGTCCGCGGGCCGGGGTTGGGGACCGCTGGCTTAGACTATAAATATGAAAAGACTCGCTTGCTGAAAACAGAACTGAATTGGTGTTTGAATGACTTTCCTGTTTTTGTTTTGTGGCCCATATGTTACCTGTAAATGTATTTTTATCCCCAACACGACAAATTTATTTACCCCTGATAAAATGGGACGTGCTCACATACTGATGCTTTCACACTGAATCAGTGTGAAAGTGGATTGTCCTCAACAATATCAGCAAATACAACCAAGTAATTACTTTTGCAATGAAAGGACAGAAATAGTAAGAAGAGAAATCCTTGTATTAAAATATCCTGCAGCCAGCTGAGGGCGCTCTATGTATTTACAAGAAATCGAAACCAAATCCAAAAAGCTGGGGGGGAATTCCACTCTGTTAAAAACACCATGGACGGTTTTCTCCTTACATATTTATTGTCCAGTCAAAACGAATCGTCTCTGGACTGAAACTGTTTAGAGTCGATAAACGCAGCTTTGTTTTCCTCAAATCAAAGCACCTTATGAACCCCTCCCTGACGGCTTTGTTTTGTCT